TAAAGCGACGATTTGCTCTGAGAAGCGGTGCTTAGGTGCTTAAGCAAGTTACCCCTTCCAAGACGAATATTGCTGAACATGTATGCTGTGACCACCTCCCCTCCCCCCTAAGCCCCTAGACAGATTCCTAAGTCCGCCCTTGCGTGGGCGGTACTACATGTACCTATTAAAGTAGTAAAATATTAATCAACGATTCATTTTACTCATCTCTCTAGTTCCTGAATAACTAATATTACGAGTATTACACAAAGATATTGCGTTATTTATTCCAAAGGTGTACCATCTAAGCATACCTGTAATTTATTACAAATAGTTTTTGTATGCATATTGTAAAATACTAAAGGAAGCATCATACACTTCCAAATTTTCCATCATTTATAGAATTTTTAATCATGTTATGATCTGGCAGCTACAAGCACGAATAATCAAATTATTAGATAATCCTGTTACATGAAATATGTACATCGTAAAGTGAAACCACAGCAAAATTTTCCTTCTCGAGTAGACAGATGTTGGAACGGTGTAACCTACAGAGTATCTCCACTTTTTCAAGCTGTCGATCGGGAAATAAGCTCTTGACCTTGGGTGAATATGAAGAAGTTGCACACCCAAAACCAGTGTTGCCAGGTATAGTCGGTCTGTTTTTAGTAGATTTGTGTAACATTCTTCGGTAGATCGTGAAATTTTTGAGTAGACGTTAAACTATAAAGCAAGAACTTTCCGATTACTCAGGAGAAGAGCACCTTGCCTGAGCACCACCGGTTTTCAAAATTGAAGAGCGAGGGGTAGCATCAAATATTGAAATGCTGCTATTTGAAAAAATGAATAGCCGAGGGTTACTCTACATTCCAGCAATCGGAAATTGAAGAGCCTAGGGGGCGGCAAATGGCACTATTCTTCTTGAGTTTCGTTGAATTATATAATTATGTCAGAAATATTACTATTCAAAAATTTGAGAGATTTTTAGGTAGATCTCGCATTGAAATGGTTAGTTCGGTAGAATAAGACTAAAATCGGTAGAGTAATATCCCAGAGCTGCTAAACGTAATTTATTCTTTTAAAGACAAAATGCGTTTATATGTATTTTGAACGCACACGTAGCTGTTAATTTGGGTATATGGCCAATTTACCAGTTCCAGGTGAGAAACGTAAGTAAAAACAGGACTAACTTAAGTTCTGATCACTGATTTCTATATGTACTTTGTGAAACATTGTTACAAAGTAATATCCTGCGCTGCTAGATACTTACCGCCAGCCATAACTTTCGGCTAACGCCTGAAAGCAGGACGTCCAACTATAAAATAACCTCATTCTAGTTTGCATGATGGTTCCGTACTATGTTTATTTGTATTCATGATGTCTAGGGAAAGCCCTTATCAATAAAGTTTAATGTTTATTAGAGATTAGAGATAGTATGATATTATGTATACATGTGTACAAATATACACAAAATGCATAAAAACGTTATATAAAATACTTTCTGCATTTTGTCCAAATTCTCAATACTTGAGATAGAGTGGCGCTGCATTTTTGATCAAATACTAACTCTTTAGGAACATTTGAACAGTCGAAATGCATTTAGTCCCCGTGGTATTAGGGGAACTAATACCTAGACAAAAAAACTGATTTAAATACACTCAGTTTTTTATTAATGGATGGAACATCAAGCTGGCAGGGGAGTGACAGAAATATCTTCAGCCCTGCTTGATTTTTTGAAAAAGACCAATTTTGCCCCGAATATAGACACTCTTCGGATCTTCTCTGATGGATGCGGGGGGCAAAATAAAAATAGCTTTACAATCCACATGCTGATGTTATAGTTATCCAGCTTTGCTCCAGAAACGATTAAAAATTAGAAGCTATCTTCCCAGTGCGAGGACACTCTTATATTCCGGCAGATAGAATGTTTAGGAGGGTGGAAAAGATTTTACACGCCGTCATAAAAATACCTGAAAAATATTGCGAACTTTACGAACAAGAAGGTGAAATCAGAAAACTTGGAACTGACTGGTGAATATATATATACAGGGTTATCCAAATTAAGTGTCCACCATTAGTAACTTTGTTATTAGTGAAAATACAAAGTTGTTTGAATTAGCAAACTAGTAGCATTTTTAACGCTGGTAAAAATGAGAAATAAAAAAAACAATTGAGAGTCGTTATTTTGATTTTTTTCAGTAAAATAACATTTTTTTAAATGGAAACCCCTGTATATTATATTTTTTTCTGTTAAAGCATCAAATTTTAAACAAAAAAGTTCATAATGACTTTTCCGCTAAAGTCAAAAATAAAGTCAAAATAACGATAAATATTTTTAATTATTTGCAGTATTATAATATTAAGACGGCTATGAAAACAACATGGCGTTCGCGATTTGACAGCATTAAGATAAGCGACAAATTGTTAAACTGGACATACTCGCAACTAGAAGGCTTTGGAAAACAATGATAAAATCAAATAATGTCAAACATTAGCGTAAATACTTGTTTATAAGCTTTATTGTGTCATTAATTTAAAGAAAAATGTTCTCCCATGAAGAAAAGTGTGATATGTTAGAATGCTATTTAGTGTGCAGAAAATCCTCCTTGAGAGCAAGAGAATACTACAGTGAATTATATCCCGCTCGCAATCAACCGTATGAACGATATTTTCTGAGACTTTATCGAAAATTTAGGGGCAACGAAAATGTTTTTGCTAAAACAAGGGCAAAAAAAGAATTCATAATAAGCGAGGCCACGGAAATTGCAGTTATTGGATATTTTGAAGCTTATCGTGAGAATTCAATAGCAGATAGTCTCAAGGACTCTAATTTCAGTTATGGTACTGTTCAAAGGATTTTTAAAAAATACAAATTTATTCCGTATAAGTACCGACCAGTTCAAACGCTTTTGGCAGGGGATCCAGAGAGAAGACTTGTTTTTTGCCATTGGTATCTTAGCTTCTGTCGCCAAAATGTAAATAACTTTCGTTACCTTTTATGGACAGTTGAATCAAATTTTTCAAATTCTGGAATGTTTAATAGAAAAAACCACCATTATTGGTCAAGAGAAAATCTTTTGTTAGTACATCCAAGAGGCCCACAAGTCCGTTTCAGTTTCAACGTTTGGTGCGGTATAATTGGTTCAAAAATTGTTGGCCCGTTCTTTTATGAGGGAACCCTAACTGGTGAAAGATATGTGGAATTTATGTCAGAAATTCTGACTAATTTCTTAGACGAATTGGATCTTATAAGTAGACATCATCTGCATTTTCAGCAAGATGGCGCACCTGCCCACAACTCCAGAGGTACTTATCATTTTCTAAGTACTAGGAACAAATGGCCCAATACAGTGGCCTCCCAGATCACCAGATCTAAACCCACTTGATTACTTCTTGTGGGGTTACTTAAAGAACCAAATTTACAAGCGAAGGTACGATAACCTTGACGCTTTAAAGACTGCAGTTAGGGAAAAGATAACCCAGATAGATGGTAGGACCATACTTAAGACAGTTCGAGCAGTTGAAAAACGTGCCCAAAAATGTATTGAAGAACAAGGTGGTGTTTTCGAGCATCTTCTTTAAAAAAAATTGTAATTGTATTTTGTAAGATTATAAGTTGATGTTGAAAATAAAGTTTGTCGATACAATTTAATTGTTTCAGATTGGAGGCCATAACTTCAACAATTTGTAACCTAGGAGAAAAGTTATTGTAAGCTTTTTTGTTTAAAATTTGATGCTTTAACAGAAAAAAATATAATATACAGGGGTTTCCATTTAAAAAAATGTTATTTTACTGAAAAAAATCAAAATAACGACTATCAATTGTTTTTTTTTATTTCTCATTTTTACCAGCGTTAAAAATGCTACTAGTTTGCTAATTCAAACAACTTTGTATTTTCACTAATAACAAAGTTACTAATGGTGGACACTTAATTTGGATAACCCTGTATATATATATATGGTGAATATAAAACAAGTTTCAATCTGTTTGAAAAATGTCCGAGGAATTAGCTCAAGTAAAAGAATAATCATCAAACGAGGAAAGCCCTTAGGCGTTGTGGTCAAATCTGAAGTGCTGTATCAAACGGATGATCCAGCAAAAAAATTTTGAACTTTGTTGGAACCTAACCCCTAATCGAACTTCCCGAAGTACGACTTGGATATGAAATAAAGCAGAAAAAGCTTGGTAGTCTAAAACACCTACTTGTTGCATTGTCTGGTGACGAATGGTATGAAACAGACCCGGAGCTGAAATGGATGGCTGAAATATTTGAGAAAACTGTGGCAAACTGTAATGATGAAGATTAAGAGCACGAAAATGATGAAGAAGCTCGTGGATGTGATGAGAATGATGATAATGAATTTATTTAAAAAAAATCGTTTACTACTAATATTATTATAATACATACAATTTTTGTTAACTGGACAAGGACATTCAAATTGCATTTTGTCCACTAGAGACAATCAAACCGCATTTTGTCCAACAATTTTTTTAATTATTTCAAGTTGTTTTTCGACTTTCTTTTACCAAAACATGTGATAGAGATCCATGCACCTGATAACATTATATTATCCAAAAGTTTTTTCTCTTATGGTTAGTTAGTTTTTCTGTACTAGTTTTTTGCTCCTCCTGAAAATTGGAAATAATGTACAAAATGCGATTTGCCAGTTTGCTCCTCATATACAAAACGTTAGAAGGAGGTCAATGTATAGCTGGTCATCTTGTTTGAAGCATGTGGCAGAAGTTATGACTGGTGGAAAGCGTCTTGCAGTCTTAGATATTACTTCGTAATAGTGTTTTACAAAGTGTATATAAAAATCAGCTATCAGAGATTAATATGATTTTATTTTCATATATTTGTCTCACCTGGCACTGGTAAATCGGCCGTCTACCCAACTAATCAGAAGATAATTGCTCAGCTTTAAAACGGGTAGTAAACCATCGATTGCGTAAAGACGCATCGTGGTTGATGATGCTGTCAAAAGTCTCAACGATAAACAATGATGAAACTAATGCTTACCTGTGTCTGCAGTAGAAGCATGCTTGATTGTGGGCTGCTTGGTGCAGAAGGGTGCGCACTCTCCGCCGGTAACGAGGTACTTGACACTTCACTCTGAACAAGCAATGTACCTGAAATTCAAAAATCAGAATAAATGCCAGACACTTCCAAGGTTAATTCCATCGTTTGGAGCTCAAAAGCTTTGAGCAGTACAAATGGTTGGTTTATACACATTTATTAGGTTCGTCTGTTTTGATTACTATTAAATATAAGTATAATATAATTATTGATAAATATAAACACCGCGAATTGATGATAACAACCAAAAACTCTACAAAATAGCTCATACAGTGTGAATTTAATGTTCATTTGCGCCAAATGAATTCTTATTAAAAATCTATTTACATTTAATACCGGTTTTGTCTCAACAAAATTTATCCTACAAGCAGCCTAAGTCATTATTTAGTTTTCCTTATTTCGATATCCGGTGATCAAGCGAAGCAAACAGTAAGAATTGAATATTACAGTTTTGACAAAACATATGCTTGAAGTAGGTCACATAAAAATAATTTTTTATTAATGATAGGCAATTCACGAAATTGATGATCTGGGGTAGTGGAGTCTCAGGCGTCTCCAAAGAACTTGACAAAAAATCGGATGCTACGTAAATAATAACACAGTATTTTGATATACAGTGTTACTGGTAATTCTCAGTATTCCTTCTATGGCATGGTACCAAGTGAGAAAGGATAAGTACAAATAAGACTAACTCGATTTTTATGACTCCTACTTAAATTAAGCGGTAATACACTAATAAAATGTGCAAAAATACTACAATGAAACAACACCTACTTCAAAAATAAAAAAGCCTTCATTCTCAAACAACGCTGTCTAGCTCTAAAAGTTGCTAGTACATTGAGCGTAGAAATTACTAAACATACTTTCTCGTGTAGCCAGCTTTTCAAAAAAGGTGAAACATGGACCAGTATGGAATCGTCTAACGAGTCACAAAGAGCCAATTAAACCAATTTAGGTCAAATAACAGTTCATCAACTAAATGATATGTTTTTTAAGTAATTCAAATGAGTGAATTATTTCTGGAACAATCGTGCTCAATTGGAGTCTCTAAGCTACGAATAGAGAACAGCATCCACTTTCTAGCTCCTACTCTCTAGATTAGGACGGACCAGCGACTGACCGCTCGCGATTCTCTGTTCTTAAGCCGGATTTTACTAACAAGAGATCAAAACTCTTGATCAGGATCATAATGGACCAATGAGAAGGCATCTTTCATGTATTGGATCTAATGAATATAGTCTTTTCAAAAATATATCTCCTAAGGTCCTAAAACATATTTTTTTAGTTGATCCGGAATTTAAAACCTATGATCTGGATCAACAATGACCAACTAGAAAGCGTTTTCGTAAAACTGCATCGAAAATTGTCCAATCGGAGAGGAGCCCTTAATCCCTGCCCGAATCGTGGATCAAATCTGATATAATGCCTAGATTGATATGACGTCAATTACTGAGCACTCTATCGAAAAGAACAGTGTATACTTCCATGAGAGAGGTAATCTAATATAATTATTATTAGAGAAAAAGGATATATTTTTTAAAAAATATGTATCAACGTGTCGATTGTCGATTAAATTGCCGTCTCATGTAATTTGTAGATATATGAACCACATCCTCTGTGTGTGCGCGATATTTATGCAAGTTATTGGCAGTCATATTTTTAATAAACCTATTTCAGTATACATCTAATATCTGTACGTTCCTTGGGCAACAGAAATAACACATGAAAATCTTTATTATACTTAAAACAAAAGCAGAGAAAAGAGAGGTTTCCATTTAATATTCTACAGAATTTATGTTATTACAGGCCGCTCTTTCTGTTGTACAATTTTTCATCTGGTTTCTACCATATCTCAGAAATTTTATAATGCAAGGGCAACGGTATACATTCGCCTGAACAAGATAGAGGTGCTTAAAATAATTGTACCCAGAAACATATCTATTTACCTTGAAGGACGACATGAAGATTTGGTCTAGCAGCAAAAGCATGTTATAATGGGAGATAACTACGGAGGTTGCTTAAATCTACACCTAACAACCAATATATCATTTTTTCAATTTTCTCAGGTGTTCCAGTTTGTTTTGGATTTGATGCTATCGTCTGCAAGCTTTGATACATGTTTTGCTTTCTAATTGGTCTTTGTTGATCCAGATTATAGGTTACGATCTCCGAATAAAGCAGAAAAATATGTCTTTGTAGCTAAACCGGGCGATTTATGAAGAGGTCCTTGATTTAATATGGGGATTAGAGGACCCTCTTACACAACAATTAAAAAATAGACCATATTTATTTGATCTAATACTAGAAAGACGTCTTCTAATTAGTCTATTTTGACCAGGATCAAGATTTTAGATCCCGCGGGCCAATAGTAAAATCGGGTCAGCAAATATTGTTATTTCATATTAAGAAATAATCTTAATCAAAAAGAAATATTATCAATCACAATCAGATGTAGCCTAAGTCACTCGAGAATAATGTAGCTTTTTACTGGTGAAATAATTTTTAAAATCGGTTCAGTAGTTCGAGATATTACTTCCTACAAACAAACCCACGAACTTTTCTTAATATTAGTGTAGATTAATTCTCATTGTACTGGAGAAAGGCCTCCGTGCTGGGAAAAAGTCGTACAAAGAGTAATTATAACACGTGGTTTGATTCAGGGGCCAGACAATGAACATGAAAACCACTGGATAGGTTGTCTATTGATTATTGACTACACATTATGGGGTGAAGTTTGTTGCGGTTTAGGTCTCCTGTCTTACCCTGGAAAGGATAGATACGACGATTTACCAGAAATCCTACAGTATACAACTATCTAGATTAAACACGTTGTTTGTTAATTAACACAAGTATTTGTAATTTTTTAATTTCATACCTAAGTCAGCGATATCTTCGATCATCCGATTTAAGCACTCAACACATTACGTTGCAAGCGATTTAAGAAATACTTTCAGAAACTTCGTGCAACGACCACCTACTTGATCACTACGTCAAATAAAGGAGTTTAAAATAATCTCACCCTTATATAGCTGTGCAAGTTTGCATCCGTGGCACTAGCACTCATTGGCGTACAAAACATGGAAAGTTAGGAGCATTCTTGTAAATGATTCTGGGTATAGCTTTCAAAGCGCTAATAATTTTTGAGAACGCTTCCATCAGAGTTACAAAAGATTTTCTAACATAAAATATCTACTGGTGTTAGAATATTTAACCACGTGCCAGAAAATTATAAATATTTATTTTTAAAAAGTTGAATGAGTTTTTGCATTTTCATTGTAATAAGAAAAACTACTCAAGAAATTAATTTCTGCAAAATCCATTCTAAAAATAATGAAGGTTCGACGTCATCGTGTTCATATCTCCATGTTCTTCTTCGAAATATATCACACAAGGTTTTTGTATCTCTAAATCGGTACACCTAGTGGAATACGCCCTCCTAACAAGAGCGGATTTTGAGGAGGGAAGAGGGGATAACCGCCACGTTGCCTAAGTCTACCATTTTTTTCACGGAGGTGGTATATATTGCTGTATCTTGGTGTAAAAATTACCTTACTAAACCTGAATAGTAAGACATGCGCCCCTCGTAGATATATCCACCCTCAACTCTTCAATTTTTACATAGCGCACTTGCTCTCAGCAGCGCTGCTATCACCTAGACTGATTCCTAAACTCACAAGTAAATAGACCGTGATAAGATCATCATTTCGTTGTGTTGACAACTGATTACTTGGAATATTGGATACAATATCAAAAGAGCATTCCTTAAAAACATAACAAAAATCATGATCAATTCAATAATTCTTCATAGCTCATACCCTGTATGAGTTTTAATATTATCAACGTAAATAGGAAGCAGACAGATCTTCTTTTTGAAGAAAATCGTCTATTCTTAGACATGGCCTGAATCTTCCAAGAAAAGATCACCCCTCAACTTTCCTCATAAAAAATGAAATTCCATAACATACGGTAACAATCCAAGAGGTAGCAAGGCTGACACGTGAGGACGGTAATTGTCAGGTATGTACCAGTATCATTATACTTCTACGTATAAGTAATTGGCAATGCTACGGTACGTAAGCTCATTTCCACGCAGTCATGATTTCCAACTGGATAGGATAGCTTCTGGTGGAATATGTTTATCAGTGGTCTCACCAACATCCAATAATACTTTCAAAAGTCCTTTATTGTATAGTTTTATGATAATGTGGTCCAAACATTTTTCAGACTCTCCAGGAAAACAATTGTTTAAATTTTGTTATATATAATTGTAGATTTTCACAACTTTCCTCAATCAACCGTTTTCTAAGACTCACAACCGAATTCTACATAACCTAAGACAAATTTTAAAGTGGTACTATAGATTTTTCAAGAAAAATTACCGGGATGTAATAAGAAATGAGCTGTCATTTTGAAAACACAGACGTGAATGTCAAGTTACTAAGCTTAAAACATGATACTTGAAAAACGTTTTGTTATTTCATATTATATTAAAATAACTACGGAAATCAGTGTAACAAGTATTCACATGCAAATTAGACAACCTCAGCCTTAATACTAAGTCAAACTGTTCAGGAGATCCTAATATTACAAATTGCACTGCGAATTCTATCCCTATTTGTGGACAAAGACATACTGGGATACTCGTATAACGAGGAATCTATTAATTTTTGTACATGCACGAATGATATACTACATTCAAACAGTTGGCAATAAACAAATAGCTGCATTTGCGAACTGTGATCCTAACCAGCTTTTGCTCCACCACTGCTACTCACCGGCGCCAGCAGAAAACAATCAAGCCCAGCTATGATATGATGCACCCTGGGGATGCGAATCAGTGATATTTACACGGGGCGAAATCAGGGTCTATAGTGGGTTATGGTCCGTGACGGGAGACCCCTCTTTCCTCTCGACACTATGTGGAACCCGCGCCGCTATTGTAGCGTTCTCGGTAACGCCTGTTTATGGTGTACGAAAAACATATTGCTGTATGATTAATATTGAGCCGGATATTACCATTGGGAGTTGAGAGGGAGTTTTTAGAAGCGTGACGTT